TTACAAGAGTGACATGAGTAACCTGAGTCCCTTAACGGGCCCAGGTAAACAGCAGGAGTCCAATTACCATATGAATGTAACTTAACATAATCATAATCTCAATGGCTGGCTGGCAGTCACTAAACCCAAAGGTGCCTGTATCAATATTTTTGCTGTGGCTCCTAGCACTTTGGACTGAAAGTTAAACATATCTTTTGCTCTCTCAACAGCACCTGAATCATGCAACTAGCAGCTTTGGCTTTGACAACACATATCTCCAGAAAGTGCCTGTTATGGTAACTGACACATCTTGATTTTTTTTCACCTGTTCTGCCTGGAAGCAATGATGGAGAACACTGGACAGTCAACATGGCCMGCCATTAAGATGTACTGTTCATGTTTCAAAAAAATATTTGTTTTACCATTTTGTCATTATTTTCAGAGTGTTGTCATTTAATCTCCTTCCAGAAGATCTGTATGAAAAATAAAAAAGGGCCTCCATGTTCTAGACATGAAACAGGACAAAGGGAGGTTTGCAGTGAACAAGGTGTCCTGGTGCTCTCTGGGGAGCCTCTGCTTACAGCTTGCCCCTTTGCCACATCCAGCTGAACTTGGTCACACCTCTATCAGTATCTGATATTGCACCCTTCAATCAGCCAGGTTCCTCTGGGTAATCATTCTGGCTTTTCCAGACTGGGATACTCAAGAGGGCTAAACCAGTCATCTTCTTGCCTTGGGTCTGCAAAGAGGGCTCTGGGTCCCTGCTTGAGAAGAGACTCCATCCAATTATAACCAGAGCTTATGGTAGAAGAAGGAAGAGAARGCACACAGAGCCCTGTTGATTTGCAACGAATGCAGCACCTTGGAGGCAGTAGTTATGGAATATCAATGCACAGTGAGAAAGATGTTGGGCCTCACCCCTGCCATTTCCTCTCCCTCTTCCTTTGCCCACCTCTTTCTCTGTCTCTCTCCTCCTCCTCTCTCAGCAGGCAGTGGAGCTCCTCCTGGGTATGAATTTTGGCTTACTGTTCACTAGCTGTGTGACAATGAACTTCCCTGGTCTTTCATAGCCCTACCTATCAAATAGGGGTCAAGACCCCTTCCTCAGTTCTGGAACGAGACCTGGAGGATAGAGCACAAGCATGCCTCATTTTATTGAGCTYTCCTTCACTGCACTTCACGGAAATTGCATTTTTAGGAATTGAAGGTTGGTGGCCACCCCGTGTCAATCAAATCTATGGGTTGCGCTCACTTTGTGTCTCTCCATCACATTGTGGAAATTCTAGCAATATTTCAAACTTTTTTATCACTATCATATCTTGTTATGATCTGTGATATTTGATGTTGCCATTGTCATGGGTTTGGGGCACCACGGGCCGTGCCCACACACAGCGAACTGACAAATGTCGCCTGAGCTCTGACTGCTCTACTGGCTGGCTATTTCCCACRTCTCCTTTCCTCGGGCCTCCCTACTCCTCGACACACAGCAACATGGAAATGAGACCAAGCAACAGCCTATGATGACTTCTCAGTGTCAAAGTGAGAGGAAGAGTCCCAGGTCACTCCCTTTAAATCAAAAGCTAGGAATGGTTAAGCTCAGCAAGAAGGCTGGGGAAAGCTGAGGCAGGCCGGAAGCCAGGCCTCTTGTGTCAAGTTGTGATGCAAAAGAAAAGTGCTTGAAGGAAGTGAAAAGTGCCACTTGACTGATAAGAAAGCAGAAAGGCCTGCTGCTAGGCTAGAGAAAGTTTCAGCGGCCTGGACAGAGGGTAGCACCAGCCACTGTGCTCCCTTAAGCCAGAGCCTAAGCCAGAGCCAGCTCTCTCATTCCAGGAAGGTGGAGGGAGGTGAGGGAGCTGCAGGAAAGGCTGGAGCTAACAGAGGTGGGCTCCTGGGGTTTAAGGGAAGAGGCCGTCTCCACAGATGCACGCTGTACTCAGTGTGGACGAAACAGCTTTCCCTTGGAAGAAGATGCCATCTAGGACTTTCACAGCTTAAGGGAGAAGCTTCAGAGGACACGCTGACTCTCTTGTTAGGGCTAATGTAGCTGGTGATCTTAAGTTGAAGCCACTGTTCATTTACCCTCCCAGAACCCCTATGACCTTTAAGCAGGTTACTAAACCAACTGTGCCCGTGCTCTGTAAATGGAATAACAGTCTGAGGACACATGTATTCACAATGTGGTTTACTGGGAAATTTTTATGTCTGCTGTTGAGAACTACTGCTCAGGGGGAAAAAAAGGGTTCATTTCAAAATATCACCACTCATTGACAGTGCACCTGGAGTGGACATGTACAAAGACATTAATGTTGATTTCCTGCTGGTGGATGCAGCATTCATTCTGCACCTCACGGATCAAGGAGTAATTTTAATGTTCAAGCCATATTATTTAAGAAATACATTTTGTAAGGCTGTGGCTGCCATGGATAGTGATTCTTCTAAAGGACTTGGATAAACCTCCTGGAAAAGATTCACCATTGAAGGTGACATTAAGGACATTCTTGGTTCATAGGAGGARGTCAAAATATCAACATGAACAGGAGTTTGGAAGAAGTTGCTGCCAATGCCCATGGATGACTTCGAACAGTTCAAGAATTCAGTGGCAGAAGAAACTGCAGATGTGAAAAATAGAGAACTAAGATTAGAAAAAGCCTGAAGAGGTGACAGAATTGCCACCATCTCACTGTCTTCCGAAACTGCCACCAGCATCCCAACTTCCAGCAGTCACCACCCTGATCAGGCAGTAGCCAGCAACGTGGAGGCAAGACCATCCAAGGCCAGAAAGGACTGTGACTTGCCCAAGGCTCAGGTGATTGGTAATTTTTTTTTAAGCAATAAATATTTCTAACTAAGGTAWGTACTTTTTATACATCAAGCTCTTGCACACATAATAAACTGAGTATGGGGCAAACACAACTTTGACATCCACTGGGAAACCAAAACCCTCGTGTGACTTGCTTTATTGCTGCATTCACTTTACTGAGTGTCTGAAACCCATCCGCAGTTATCTCTGAGGTAGCCTGTATCCGAAACAATCCAGGGCGTGGCAGGTACCAGGTGTTCTCCGCGGGGTTGTTTCTCGCCAACTCCAAGCCCACCAACACACTTGGAGGGCATGGAAAGCAGGAAATGGCTTTAATGGGAAGCGCCCAGTTTTGCTTTCATTCTGCCCTTGTTCTACTTAGGCGTGCTTAGAGCTCTGGGCATGCCCTTTCTTTTGATATTTTGTTTTTTCTCAAAATAATCAAGGAAGCTGGTAGGGAAAAAGAAAGCAATATTGAGAAACAGGGAAGTCAGTTTCCCCGGTGCATAAAAGGCAGAGGGGCTCTGGGCGGAGACAGCGTGCTCCACGTCGCGGATCACCGGGGTGATGTCCGAGGAGGTGTAGATTCCCATCCGACGGAGGAAATCCTTCTGCCGGAGGATGTAGTCCCGGCCGTAGTCCTCCTGCAGCTCTGGGGGCAGGTGGTCCAGGATAACCTTCTCTTTCTGGTTCCAGCTCTCACTTGTGCCCGCTATATCTGGGACACAAGAAGAAAGGGAGGGTCAGGGGCCAGGACCTGGCTGAGCCGGGGAAGCAGCTGCGTGCAGAATTGGCCTCTGTCGGGAAGGACGGGAGGACCCACATGCACAAAAGCCATTCCCAATAGTGCTTCCTGAGGGCGTTCGTTGTTGTTGCTGTTGAATGTATATATTTTAGTCGTAGTGAACTCAATGTCTGTGTTTTATTTTTATGTGGTGCTCAGGAGCGAGCCCAGCGCCTCGCGCGTGCTAGGCGAGCGCTCTGTCCCTGAGCCTCAACCTCAGCCGCTCTGGTTGGCTTTCAACCAACATACAGAGCACTCGGGGTTGGGTTTTTGCCAACTTGATAATCCACAGAATCAGCGACCAGACCAAGAGTAGAACGGGACCCGAGGTCCGTCCTTCAGTCCTCGGTCCCTTCCCAGYGGCTACTGTCCCCACGGACAGGCAGGTTCATTTTGCCTGGGTTTGAACCCTGTATAAATGCAGTCCAGTAGACGGCCACAAGGATGTGTGTCGTTTCTACTTGACGCTCTTACAAAAAACGGCTGACACGAACATTCTAGCACATGTCTTTGGTGACTACTACATATAATATGTCTACAAGATAACATATATCACATATAACCTATTTTATCAGTATACCTGCMCCTATGTAGTATACATATATAATTTGTTAAATACAGAAGTAACACCTACTCTAGTTAAAAATATACAACTTAAAATATCATATCTMTATCATTTTTAAAATGCAGATGAAATTTAATGTTAATATAACTTAAATGTGGATTTAAGTTTTAACATAAATTACATATGATTAAGTATAAATGTATTTTTAATATAGAGACAATGACAGCTTGTTAGATAAAAATTAAATAATATATATTTACTCTAAAWTATATCAGCAATGCCTGCTTATTTTATAGTAAGGTGACTAACAGGAAGAGGTCTATATTTTTAAATTGAAAGAAGGACCTGAACCTGGACACTGCASCTGGGGGGATCTGGTTGCTGCTCCTCCATCACATGGTGAGCCAAATACCTGCTCTGGGGCATAGTACTCCTAGCTCCCTCACCTGGAGAATTATGTCAATCAAAACTATGCCTTATGTATTGTATAAAAAAATATAAGATGGGAGTTCAAAGGCTCCCAACAGGAAGAAATGATAACTATTTAAGAAGTTGGAAATGCTAATTACCCTGATTTGCTCATTACACATCATATACACATATTGTATTATCACACTGTACCCCACAAATATGCACAATTGTTATATGCTTATTAAAAAATAAAACATATATAGAAAAGGTGGAAGTACAAATTGGAACAACATTTTAGGAAACAATTTGCCCCATCAAACTGAACCTAGATAAAGTTTTGATCTAGCAGTTGTGATCACTCCTGGGCATATATCACAGGAGAATTCATGTATACCAAAGCCCCAGTTTATGTACCAGAAAGTCCAGAGATGCATTGTTCACAATCTAGAACTGACCCAAATATCTCATCAACAATAGAAAATTTGTTGTGGCATAATCACAGAATATGCAATAAAAACAAATGAGCCACAGCTACACCCCACATAGATGAGGTGTAAAATCACAGTATTGAGTGACAGAAGGATATATGCATATTCATTCTATTCAAAGCTCAAAAACTAGTAAACCAAACTCTGTTGTCTGAGGGTAACTGGGTGGATGTTAATTCTGTAAAGAAAAGCAAACAAATAACCATTAAAAGGTGCAAGAGAGTGGTTACCTCCTGGGTAACCACTTCTGGGTGCTAATGGTCTTTTATTTTTTTTTATCTTAGCATTAAGTACATGAATGTTCATAATATGGTTAAACTATACATGTTTGTCTGCTTTTTTTCCTATATATGAGATATATTTCCCCATTTAAACAATAAGATCAGCTACACCAGGAATACGTAGTGGGTGAGAAGTGGGTAGCCCATGCCCGATAAGAGCAGATCCCTAGAAATATTAGGTATAATTGTTTTGCTGAATCCCTGAAAGTACAGTTTAACTGCAGGGCTGTTCTCTGGTCCAAATGGAGTCTTACATCTCTGTGCTAGAATTTTTCCTGGGATTATGCACCAAACTTTAAATCGTCCTGCCAGGTGGCAAGACCCAGTCTATCATCTCCCTCCTCCACTAGCTCCAGCTGGCTTCCCTCTCTCTGTAATACCCTTTCCCTCCCAGGCCCATTGTCTGGAACACCTGGTTTCATCATTGACCAACTCCCATTCTCCACCAACTCCCCTCAATTCTCCTCCCTCCCATGGAGTCCCCAAGTTGCAAACCCCTCCCAATGCTTCATCTTCTTTCCACGTCTACCAGCTGCTCCTTCCTCTCAACCTAGATGGCCAATGTCCTTTTCTCTCCACTCTTCCTAGAACAGCCCTCTGGGTGCCTTGAGCAACCCCCATAAGCTGTGAAGTTCCCAGCTGCTAAGTGCTTCAAGCCAAAAGTTCAGTCTTTCTTTTCAGAATTTATCTTTGGGCTAATATTCGAAGCTTTAGGGCTTATTCTTGTTGTGTTAGTGGAGCCTCCTAATATTTGGTCTTTAGTCACAGATACATTTTACATCTTCACTGAAATTACCGATTAAAATTTTGATGACCCAAAAAAGGACTGGGCCTGGGGTGATCTATCTCTGCTCAGAGTTCAGAAGTTCCAGGAGGAGAGAGGTGAGAATGAAAATCTCCAGGAGTCAGGGGAGGCGGATCATTTTCTTTAGGAGGAGAATAACTGTTTTCCAAACACAAATAAGTGGGAGGAATGAAACCATTTTAGCCAATGAGAATGGGGAATTAATAAATGTTACCAACATATCCACTGAGACTTCTATGGGAAAATAAGTTCTAAATCTAAATCAACAAACCCGATAAGAGGTTCATGGGTAACATATTGGAAGAGAGGTTTGGGTGGTGTAGGGAAAATGATCAAAGTTGGTCAAAGTCAGTCAAGAGCAGTTCTTYGCCGTTTTCTCACAGGTCAAACAAAACTCAGCCCCCAGGAAGCAGGTGTGAGTCCTAGGAAGGCCCTGTTCCAAGGGACATCTGGTTTCATACCCGAATGGCCTCTGCTTGCTTATAGCTTTGAGCTAACTCCAGCTGTCCAGGGAAGGAAGCAGAGAAACAACCCTTTGTGAAGGAGCTTGGTACTTGCTTCTCGAGTCTTAGATGAAACCACTCATTCTGAACTCTGGTGGACATGGAGAGCTACAGCATGCTGGCCACATGATAAYTCTGCCAAAACCCCTGCACTAAGAGACTTGGCCACCCTGTAACATAGCTTCCAGCAAGCCCTGTCCCTCAGATGACACCAGTTCCTCACTAAAATGCCTGCCTGAGGAGCCTCCAGGCTTCCAGGAAAACTATTTGATGGGTTCCTGAGTCCACTTTCTTGAAGCATTTGAAAAGGTCTTTTAAGTATGAATCTGTATCTCTTGAACTCAGAAATACCTCCCTCAAGGACCTGAGAGCCATTCCTTTGAAATGGAATCACCCAGAAGGCTGAGGCTTCAGCCTCCCAGCCTCTTTGGGAGTATTGAATCCTACCTTCATTCCATTCACAGTGCCCAGCTCTTTGTACTTTACCACTTGTCTGACTCTACTGAGCCCTGCTTTCCACCCGCCTCCATTTTCCCTTCAACACACCCAAATGTCATCTGYACAAATCAGAATGGAGCTTAGCTGTCATTACTACTGAGTAATATATGTTTTCACCACTTTAACTAATACCTGGCTGTGTTTATCTTTGAAACCCCGAGGTGTCAAACTCATGCCCTATCAGGCCCAGAGGACCCTCGGGCTTCCTTCCACATTGAACATCACAGGGTTCTCAGGCTCAGGCACCTACTTGTTCGGAAGCCTCCAGGTTGGATGACAGAGACTTTTACTCCCCACTTGGAAAGCTCTTGTCTCATAACTGATGAGAACATGGTGAGAGCTGCCTTCGATGAGCTGTAAGCTGCCAACTGTTGCATTGGGAACACTCCTGTGGGAATAATGGGAGGAAAAAATCAAATATTATGCTTCTATTCATTCATCCAATAAATATTAAATCAGCACCTAACTGCAGGCCAAGCCTCATCACAGGAATAGTGCTCTTTTATGAAGTCCCACAAGATGGTTCACTCTCTCTCCACCATGTGAGAACACAATGAAAAGACAGTATCTGCAAGCCAGGAAGAGGCCCTCACCAGACCCTGACCATGCTGGCACCTTGATCTCACTTCCAGCATCCAGAACTGTGAGAAATGAATTTCTGTTGTTTATGCCACCCAGCCTATGGTATTTTGATATGGCAGACTGAGCAGACTCATATCCAGGATGGGGAGGAATAAGAGGGATTAGGAAGGGAACAAGGATGCTTCAGGCAGGGGATACACCCATACGCTGCTTTGACTGTGGTGATGGTGTCATGGGTGTAGACACTTAAAAACTTATCAAACTGTACACGTTAAATATGGTCAGTTCAATGTATTCCCATTGCATTGCCCCAATTTAAAAAAGAAAGAGGAAGAGGAGGAGGAAGAGAAGCCACTGTACTTCAAAAGCCCATGGACATCCCAGCAAAAGCTAGAGAGGGTATTTTATTCATCCTCACATAATCAGGACATTTGTGCAATATTCAGAAGCGGAAGGAGGAACTCCATTGTTCCTTGCTTCTATGTTCCCACACCTCCTGGTTCTACCAGTCTTCCCATCCTCCAGTGATTCTTACCAAACCAAATATGGAGTTTGTATGTGTGTGCATGTGTGTTTTCTCCTGACTATAGCATCTTGCAATTGATACTTTTTCCTTGCAGAGTTTCTTGTCCTTCCTCAGTTAGAGATGCTACATCCATAGGAGAAGAGCTTCTTAGTATTGAAGTCTCTTGCCTTAAGTCCTACCTCCATTCAAAAGTTAAATTTTGCAGAATGAATATTTGAATCCCTAAAACACAGCTCATACTCTCGTCTGACATTTATTAAGGCTCACTGGTTAAGGCTGGCCTACATCCTTACCTCATACTCTGCCCTAGGTAGGATGGATGCTTGTTCATATGTAGGCTTTCAGGAGCTCTAGCTAGACACCCAGAAAAAAAAAACTGGATTCAGCATTTGCTCTGTGACTCAGGATTCAAGCAGTGAGAGTACTGCTTCTCATAACGTGTGTGAAACAGGGAATTCACTGAAATTCAATATTGGACAATTAAAGTCTCCTAGAGACTCAAAGCTTCAGGGACATTGAAAAAAAGAAGAAAAAAGAATACTCTGAAGGCAAGCCAATTAGAATGGTGGCAGCAAACTGGTTCATCAGAAAGGGGAGGTATAGCACAAACAGAGAAACACAGTGGACAAATTTGGCATGGAAAAATCCACAGAATAAAAAAGCTCCCRAACTTGAACTAATTTAGAGGCTGCACATCAAACTGGTATTTGAAAAGTGATCTGGGTTTCTCAATTGGCAGATGGAGAGCTGAGGTGGGCGCCATCTTGAGGAGGCCACGCAGCAGCCTGCTGCTGTGGGAACCCAGGAGATCATAGCAAACATTGCATTCTGCCCTGGAAAGGGCCTACTGTGTGGCCTAGGGTGTACTTAGCAGAATGTGAGTGAAACAGTACAGAGAAGATTGTACCCAGGTTTTCCAAGTCAGAGATACAGTAGGAGTGCAATTTGCTTTCCCTTTGAGTCTGGAAGTTCATGTGACCAGCTAAAGAGGGCCAGGAAACAGAACAGGTGGGCATGAATACTCAGGGACTAAGCCTGTGAGTGCCATGTCCATGGAAGCAGGTGTGAGAGACCTGTGGAGGGCTGGCTCCACTGCCCTGAGAGTAGAATTCTTGGGAAGCTCCTGAGATCCACACTCCCAGCAGAGATCAGCATCTGCCTGGCCCAGAGATATGTTGATCTGATCTTTCTTTTTTTTTTTTTAAACAATCCTAATTGGCTTCATTTTTAATTTTAAAATCAGGTAACACTTCATTCCATAAAACAGAATCAGTTTTCCTATGAGCCAAGCACTCATCAAAAATAATTTGATGAGTTAACATCAGATTATTTATTTTGCTTGCACAAAATAAGGACAAGGGAACGTCACTATTTCGCCAGTTGAGAATGGCTGTTCTCCCTCCAGTCCAGATTTCTCTTGGAGGACCAGATGTGTCAGCTTGGTTTGATTGACTCCATGTTGTTGTTGTTGTTGCTTTCCCTGGAATATTGTCTCTGTTGAAAAACTGGCTTCACAAAGAAGGTGGCAGCAGGAAAATTTCAGAATCCAAAGCTTAAAAATGAGTCTTGGGCAGTGTGGGGTTATTTTCTGTCTCTGGGAGGGATCATCCCTCCCATTTCTGAGGCCTGGGGACAGAGGCAAAGTCCCCAGCTGCCTATCCAGAAGAGTCACTCTCAGTAGCGTCTGGTGTCCTGACCTGTGCTCGCCCGGGATGACGGTGGGTAAGGAGCAGCAGGTCACAGGGGAACCCTGACCCTCTAGGAGACAGCTCTCCCTGGGCAGACCCCGGGGCTGAGAGTCAGCAGCCAGGGGAGAATCATGTCAATGACTGTCCYTGCTGTGGTCCCTGAGGTCCTGGGGCAGGGATGCAGGAGGCAGCCAGTGTCACAAGACATCCCTGTCCCCAGCCAGGCCAGGTGCCTGGCTAAGCGAGGAGAAAGACGGTGTCCCTCCTCAGGGCCTGACCACTGCGCCTGGTCTCACTTCCTCCCCGGCACTGCCTGGAAGGGGAGAAAGGGACACCCAGGGGAAGGCCGGGAAGTGAGGCCACCGTCACATTCAAATTCAGGGTGTGACAGTTCAGTCTGCCCCCAACAGGCCCCATAATCAGCTCCTCTTCATGGGCCACGTCCCTCCTGAGGGTCATGCCCTACCATTTATAGGCACAAGGACCCAGAAGTTCCAGGGACGTGTCCATGTTTAGGCCCTCGGATCCGGAAGTTCCTCAGACATCCATGTTTAGGCTCCCGGATCCGGATCCGGAAGTTCCAAAGGTGCACGTCCATGTTTAGGCCGTAGCATCCGGAAGTGCCTCAGATGCACGTTCATGTTTAGGTCCCTGGATCCGGAAGTTCCTTAGTTGCACGTCCATACTTAGGCCCCCGGATCCGGAAGTGCCTCAGGTGTCCATGTTTAGGCCCCTTGATCTGATCTTTCCAGAGAAGATACCACCCAGCAACCTCCTCAAGTCCCAGAACTCTGCAGCAGCCCAAGCCTTTTTCCCTGTGCATTAATCTGCTCTGCCCAGACAAAACTCCCTTCAATGGTACTACTTTATGCTGGTGAGAAGGGGAAGCTGAGAGCTATTTCAACCAGCTGCAGTGACCATCCATCCTCATCAACAACTTTGACCACCTCACTGGAGACAATTCTTACATTTTTCATTAAGATTTGTGTGTGTGTGTGTTTGTGTGTGTGTTTTCTTGCTGTGCTGGTTAGTTTGCAGATATATATACATATACATTTTTGTTTCTTTTTCTCATTTTAAATATTTTTTCACAATAGTTATTTTTTCTTGTCTTTTAAGAATGAGGGTTTCTTTAAATTTATTTTGGTTGGGTTTGGTTTTTGTTTCTTTATTTCTCTTTTTCACTTACTCTACTTTATTCTCCCATTAACAGTCAAATCTCTTCCCTCCCTTTGTGTTTTATTCTGTTTAACACCTCCTTCTTCATAACCATCATTTGCTACATCTCTTCTGCATTCTCTCTGTTCACATTTTGACCATTATAAGTTTTCTTTATCTTCCTATCACATTTTCTTTTCTCTCACTGAACAGTATTTTTAGCATCTTTTAAAACTATTTGATTGATAGAACTCCTGCCTCTACCATTCACATTGTTGCAGTTACTAATACTAATACCAATACTGTGGATTGCACAGTTAAAACCTGCTTTAATGCCAAATCTAGTTCATGGTTATTTATTGTTTTGCTGTCCCCAACATTTCTGATTGCGGTAGTTAACGTTGTAGATGTCATAATTGGCACTAGGCATTTATTTTAATTCTGTACATTGGTTGCTGCTATTGTTTGTTTCCCTCTTTTCAGTGAGATGCTGGGAATACACAGGGACACTACAAATTCACAGGGTACAGACTCAACTGCAGAACTAAACTCAGTCAGATACAGCACACCTTGCCACTCACAGATTAACCATACTCAAAGTGAAACTATAATACAGAGCTGAGGATATAGCTCAGTTGGTAGAATGTTTTCCTCACATGCATAAGGCCCTGGGTTCAATTCCCAGCAACAACAAAAAAAACAAAAACAAAAAACTTTAATACAAATAATAGAAGAAACAAAAATTCCAAACTGGTAAAAGTAGGAATGGTTAGCAAAAAACATCAGGTTCCATTTATGAACATGCACTTTTACAACAAAAACAGAGAGAATTAACACAAGGGAAGGGAAGGCTGTGAATACCACTACAATGGGTCTCAATCTAGATCATTCTAGGACATTTTGGCAGGAAAATATTGTGCTAAAAATATCCATTCATAAAAGTAGAAGAGAATTACATCGTAACAGATGCATAAAACCCAACACAGGAATCAAAATATATGAAAAACAAGGTAATACAATGCCTCCTAAATTTCATAATTCACCAGCAACTGACTTCAAAGATATTGAAGTGAATGAAATATCAGATAAAGAATTTAAAAGAATGATTTTCAAATTACCCATAAATTCCAAGAGAACACAGAMAACAACTAAATGAATTAAGGAGATCAGTACAGGGTATAAAGAAATATTTAATAACAGATAAAACTATTGAAAAAGAACCAAACAGAATCCTTGTAGTTGAGATGTATACTAAATCGAATAAAATGCTTAGTTGGAAGTCTCTCTAATAGAGTAGGCCATACTGAAGGCAGAATCACAGAGCTGGAAGACAAAGTATTGAAAATTCAGACAGTATTTTTAAAAAAGTAAAGAAGTAACCATGATAAGAATATATAAGAACTCTGGGACAACATTAAGAGACCAAATTTAAGA